CACCAAATTCTCTCAAACTTATTAATATACAAATACATGAGCCAGCAATCATCACTACTATGTGACACCATCTTTCTCAGCTCCGTAGCCACTACAGTTCCCTGACTGCACTTCCTTCCAGGTCATTTACAACTATCAGTTTCCATACCACCCATCAACAGGGTAGAAGAGATGAACATATGCCTCATCCTTATTACTATAACACTTTCATTTGGATCAAAGTAGTTATACTGCTAATAACTTAGTAATGCATGAATGCTTGGGAGGAACAAATGCAACTAGTGGAACAAAAGTAGTATAAACTGAATATGTATGTAAGGTTAATGCTGTTGAGATCTGTAGAGTGGTACAGCTCTTCCTGGTGGTTTGATAGAGAAGGTAGCCTAGTTCATCCTTCAAGTACTTGCAGGATTAGGCTCAGGCCTGTAGGTGCTTTCAGGGATTAGAACCAGCAATCATGCAGACCAGCTGAAAGTCACAGAAAGTTCTATAAAAGGCTGCTCAACCTTGCCAAATTTTGCCACAATAACATGAATATTTACTGTCTTGATAATGTTCCTGCCCTGAGATCTATAATGCCTTCATCCATGACCTGACTCCACCCTGTTCTTGTCTCTGCCTCTGGTCCCTACCACATCTTTGTCGGGCATCTGGTCCTTGCATATTCCCGCCCTGCCTCGCCAGTATTTCTACCTTCACTTATTCTTGATTTTGCCTTTGCAACTGGACCTGCAATGCCTTGTTGGCATCCTCGGCATTGCCTTTATCCCTGGCCCTTTTATACCTTACCTTACATGCTTGCACTTGACTTTGTCTTTGCTCTACTACATCTTGCCAAGTCCTCCTTCCACTTCCATCACCCCTGCTGCTGGTGTTTCACCTGTAAGCAGCTGCTGTTTATGACCCCAAGTTGTCAAGTGCCACAACTGGTACTGATGCAGCTGCATAATCGTAGTATTAGTTACCTATTTCGTCTTTCACATTTGTATCCTATCCGCCTACTCCAGCATTCCCCGAGCACCACTGATGTTGATCTTGTTACTTCATGTTTGATGGATGAATAATTCCTGATTTACTCCACTTACACCATATACATGCCCAGAAACAAAAATGCACCCATCTTTGCTGCTGGTGGTATATGGTTACATATATGCAGCCAAGTTCTTTGGGGCAAAAAGACAATCTGTCCCCTAGGAGGAGATAGGAAAATTACTGCTATTACAGGATTGTTCATAGTGTGTTCCCATTTGACAAGAAGTCTCATTCTTAGGATCAATATGATTCACTTAAAGCGACATGGAAAATGGATTTGAGAGAAAATATTAGTAAGGAAGATTGAGAAAATATTTGCACAAAGAGGATGCTAAAATCTATGTCAGTAAGAATAAAGGAAAATTTCTACAAAATTGTATGAAAGTAGTATTGAACCACAGCAAAGTTGAATTATATAGATAAAATATACTCCAATTAATGTTGGAGAGGTGGTTGTGAAGTGGGCACATATTTTCATATGTGATGGGAATATGAATATAGTTCAGTAAAATATTAAGTCATAATATTAAGCATATAGACATATGCCCTGAGATTGCATTACTTCCAATGTTTGCGGAAAAAGATGGAGTTGGAACAACAAAGAATTAATAGAAAATTTAATAACTGCAGCAAGTTATTATAGCTAAGAACTGGAAAATGAAATATGATTACCAACAGTCTGATTGGTACAGAGAAGTCTGGAATATCGCTATTAGTGACAAATAAACATGTGATATTAAAATAAGAAAAGGGCACATAAAGAAAAGTTTAATCAGATTTGAGGTATATTCATTGGCTAAGTTTTAAAGAAAGGGAAGTGTTTGAGCCACCAAAATCATTACAGTTTTGCAAGGGGGGAATGTCCTCAAGTATTTCAAGGGGTTTTTTCTTCTTTTCTTTGTGACATGTATTCTTGCTCCAGTTGGTTGGGAGCACAGTAATATAATACTTATTGTATGTTAATTTTTATGTTTGTATTTTAAATGTAGTGGATTTTTGTTTGTATTGTCAATCTTTTAAAAAATCCCATTCTTTGATCAGTCAGAGTAGTTTACGTCAGGGGCACCAAACACAAGGACCAAGGGTGACAATGTTAAAGATTGGTCAATCATGATGTTTCCTTTCTAGGCTCAAAGCAACCATTCTGTATCATACCACACCTCCCATAAACCTCAATCAGCATAGACAGTAGTCAGCTTTTATGAAGTTATGGTCCAAAATATCCAGAAGGTACCAGATGTAGCAACCTGCCCCAAACTGCTAAACCTCCTTTTTAAGTGACTTTGTAAAGCTTTAGTGCAGGGGAAGGCAACTTGTAGCCCTGAAGATATATCTTGGTCTGTAACTTCCATAATTCCTCATACCCAGGGCTGATGTGAGTTGCATGCCAAAACATCTGCAGGGCCATAAATTGCCCACCCATGTCCTAGAATATAATTGAGGTACACTTTAGGTACAAATATTTGTTTGTTTGTTTAATTTATAAACCACATCAATAGTCCAGAAATGTACAAAATGTGCATTGTTTGATGGAACATTTACTAGGTAGGTTCTGTTTAAAGCTATTTAAGACTGGCAGTTTTGTTTTACATGTTTCTCTATCTATTTATCTGCATTTTTTTAAAAAAGTAAAGAAGTGTGTGCATAGGAGGGGTAAATTTACATATCCATTTAACAAGGAGAAAGAAGATGGCACTGTTCAAAAACTACTGCAGCATGCCTCAAACACTGTCATGGGACATAACCTAATGAAATACCTCATTGTATCCCATGTCATGTTACGCGGATACATTAGTCATGTCCTTGCTATTTATATGGACAGCAGCCGTGTGGCTAATTCCTCATAGCCAAGAAGGCAAGCAACAATGAAGAATCTAATTCATCACACTTTACTAATCTAATTCATCACTAAACCCACCAATGAAATGCAATCTGTTTCACGCTGACATTTAATCCAAACAACTTCATTGCACTGCACCAACAAGCATGTATTTTACCAAACCACTGAACTAATAGAAACAAGTCAGCTACACTACAAGTAGAAATACACTTAATTTTTAGGCCTTTCCGCCTGTATATTAGAAAGATTGGCTAGGGTTTCTTTAATAAACTTCTGAGGGTTGGTTTTTATACGCTCAAAGCACTGAACAAATATGTGTACCAAAATCTCAATGGTAATTTTTTCCAAATAATTAAGAATGTAGTTGATTTGTCAAAGATTATAAAGCAGATCATGAATACCTCTTTTCTAGAAAGCAATGTCTACTGTTGTTTTTATTTGTAAATACCAGTTGTGGGATTAAAATTAAAAAATGGTTATTTTCTTTAAATAAAATAATGTAGACAGTTTGGACAAAAAAAACAAGGCTGACTGTATCAGCATCCTGAGGCAAGCTCGGGGGAAAAAATACAGTTTTGCCAGTGTTTACTATGGTTCAAGTCACATCAGTGAAAAGCAAGGAAAGGTACTGGCTAGCACCTGTGACAACAGCAACACACTTCCTTCACCCTAATGTTCAAAGTGCATTTAAAGTGTGAAACTTAAACAAAACAAAACAAAACAAAACCAGAGTGGCTGGTACATGATAGAAGAACTAAGGGGTGATTCATCTCTTTGGCATGTTAAACTATCTACATATCAGCTGGGTGAGTTTTGAAACAAAGATCCTGGATAAAAATGGGAAAAAATAAGGTGCAAAGTTGGTAGGAAACACACAGACACAGCAGAAAAATCAGCTGAAGTCGCCACTCTTAGAAACATCTGCATATCTAGCATAGATATGGAAATAATTTTTCTATAAACCATGCTGTTCAGGTCTAATAAATTCCACTATAGTTGCAGAAATTATCTGAAGTGGGATAAACAGGCTGAGGTAAACTATCATATTAAGATGGAGTTTGCATGATGGCCTCCTTTTTTCCATGTCAACCCACATCTGTGGAAGAAGCAGGAGGAGCCTGTAAAATCAGGTAATGGCTATAAATGGCAAGAAAAAGTTGAAGAAACTCTCTGCAGCTCTCCGGAATAAAGAGTTTGAAATTACAGCAGCACCAAGAGTTAAAGGGCTATACAACTATAGGAATGAGACTGACAGATTCTAAGAGCCTGATAAATGTATGGGGCGGGGGGGGGCAGGCGATGGAGTTTACTGAGAAATAAAAGAGGAATGATTCACAGCAAGAACAGAAAGGAGTAAAGAAATTGGGAAAATTCAGCCAGTACTTGCTGTAACCTAGGAAACTAAGTTGCCTGCAGTGGTTTCCATATGTGGGGTGAGGGAAAGCTAGTGTAATAAATAATTGCATGAATTTTCCAACATAGAAAAGGAAATAATCAAACCAGTTGCATGTAAAATGAATGCACTCAAAGATAAATGCAACTTAGCTGAACATTAAAATAGCAAGAGGTAATTTTGTAACCACATTGACTTAGTATGTAGTGGGATGTGGGTAGGGGAGAAGGCCAAGCTTGTTAAGTCATTCAATCCCATTTCCAAATGCAGTGACTTTTAATTATGAAAATACTTGTGCATACTTATATGGGAGCAATTTCCAATGAAACATAAGTAGGAAAGCATATGATGGCACTATGAATCTTATTTTGGTATGCCGTTTCGCTGAAGAAGGTTTTGTGATGGCTATGCCATGAACCTGACTGGCCAAGCTAAGTGCATGAATGAAAAAGGACAAAAGCATCATCATCACGCTCTAGCATTACTTCCATCAGAACTGACCAGGCACCAAGCTTCTCTCCACATTGTGCAATATCATCAAGGAGTTTAAAGCCACTAGGCATTTTGTACACAGAGCATGAGACTTTTTACACTTATGTTTGGCCTTTCCTTGGAAATGATAAAACTCTAGCATCACTGATGTTTAGCGATGGCTCCCTTCTTTTAGCATGAATCAAAAACTGGTTAAAAACGAAACAAGAAAATCAAAGGAATGCAAACGTATCAGTAACTTACTGGTGATGTAGTTAATCGAAGAATTGCTCCATTTTTAATCTCATTGCGATTCTGGAAAAGAAATTGCAAAGGTCAGACATTCATAATTTTAAAAAAACCTTACATCACTCATGCAACATATATAGAATACACCAGGGGTGGCCAGACTTGCTCAACTGAAGAGCCACATGCAGTAGATGTCAGCTGTTTGAGAACTGCAGGTAGGTGCCCACAGGAGGCTGGTGGCAAAGGGGGGCCAGTGGGAGGTGAGCCACAAATGGGTGTCTGGCAGTGGCTGTGGGCAGCAAGTGGCAAGCGGGCATCTGCAAGCAGTGTCTGTGGGTAGCGTGCCTCAAGGAGCATAATAAAATCAGAGTCTCATGCCACTCCCTAGCCTTGGTCTGGCCACCCCTGGAATAGACTGATTTTGCAACAGCCATTGGCATTTCCCACTGCACATAAAAATTAATCTGCTTTCTTACTAACAATAGCTACAGGAAAGTATAGTTATTAAGCCCAGGCTTGACTTAGATACATTTGCCTTGGCTCCATATTCAGGATGGAACCTCTTTATTCATGGAAACAATTAGAGTCAAGAGCATTTCAAAATTGTTACTATTCCAAGTCACATTGGATATTATTGACAGGACTAGCTCACAGATATTCCCCCAAAAACACAAGTTGACTATTTTCCAATGATAAAGCTATTGAATTCTTCCCCAAAAAGCCTTGGGCCTTTGCTTCACAAAGGTCAAACAAATTTAAAGACATGTGTGGTATTATGTATGAGGCAATTTAACTGTGCCATCCTGTAAAGCAGGAGTGTTAAATCTCAGTTCCACCAGTCAAATTTGGAAAACCCAGGGTCCAAATCCAGCCATCCATGGTTCCTCTGATGGTCTCACACCCTTCGCCAACCCAGTTCATTTAATAGTTTCTTGCCTTTTGCCTGTTCTTTTTCCCCCATTTCTGAAGATTGAAATGGCTTAGTGACAGTAAAAACTTTAAGAGAAGATTAGTCCATAACCCCTTTGCCTTTGGCCATGCCCATCAATGTAATATGCCCCCTCCCAAGCCTCCCCAGAGGCTGAACATCCCTGTTATAAAGAAAGAGAACTCTGATTTGGCAGTTGAATTCTACCTTCAGGCTTTGTCTGTACCAGCTGTTTCCTGAGATACACCCCAGGAACAGTCTGTATCTCATTGCAAATAATGAGCTAGATGGGCCATGATCTGACTCAGTGTAAGGCGACTTCCTGAATTCCTAGCGAGAGGAAGGACTCTGGCCTCTTACTTGCCAAAGCACTAGATGAGCCTGTGCAGAAACGCTGCAGCCTGATGAGGGACAGCAGGTTATAGTCCTTTGCTGGCAGCAGATCTTTTTGTGATGCCCTTGGGGGGCTTTAATCCATTAGACAATCTCACTACATAGACTGCACACACACAAACGGTTGTGCAGGAAGTTCCCAGAGCAAGGAGGGTCGAACATAAACAGCTTCCCTCTTCTTGTGCTAGGAAGATTATAGATAGAGGCTCAATACATTCTTTGCTTGATGGGGCTGCAACTGATTCTGCTTTCATACTGCTACAACCAGTATTTATCATTTATTCGCCAACCATCAATAAGAATAAAAATGAAAAGAGTTTCTCTCCCCTTTGAAAGAAAAGGGAAGGGGAAAGGAACCCTGATTTTCCTTTTCTTCCTTTAAAGGAAGGAAAATAATCTGAATCTGATCTCCATGCTTTAAAACTAAAGTGCATGCATCCCTCCACTTTGGAGCCACTGCCAGCTACTGAGCAATAGTTTAAAGTCCGCATTCTATACAAAGCCATAACGAAATGGCCCTATGAAATCTGACTCCAAACTGATGTCATGGAGTTGAAGAGTTTGTAGGACTGCTGAAACCCATCATTAAACATCTGTAACACTGCAGTGTTATTCCTCCAGTGCTGTTTTCCATAACTGCAATATGCAATCTTAAAACCACTGGAATCAGCCATTGAGATCTGACACCACAAATTTGCATTCTCTCTGAGACACAAAGCACTGATGCTGATATTCACAAAAATAAGTGGACATCAAAGAGCTTCTGCTCGCTTAAATAGCCAAGAATGCTATCTCACATGAAGGAAGAAACAGCATTAGTTAAATTTCTTTTTGATAAACTCATTTCTTTATTATTCTGCTGAAATATGACTTATTTTCAATCCAAAATGGCTCATATTGCTCTCCATTTCTGTTCACAAAAGTCACCCTGTGAAGTAGGCTAGGATGAGAGACAGTGAGTGCCTCAAAATTACCCAGAGAGCTTCACAGGCTGAGTGGAGAATAGAAGCCTGATCTCCTGAGTCTGTCGGAAGCTAGGTTTCCCTCTTCACACATTCAAGGCAACAGACCGTTCCTTTGCAAAACCTCTTTATTCTCCAAAGTACATTCAGTGACCACAGCATGAATCTTTGAGCATGCTCAGAGTGGTTTGTTGAATCCAATCTAGCAACCAATCTAGCAACTACTTCCAAGAACCCTCCTTTTGAGTATCCCTGGCCCCCCTCCCTCTGGGAAGGCCCTCTGGGAGGCAGGCAAGCCTCTTTTCTCCAACTGGCTAGTCCTTCTCTTCCAACACCATGTCATGGGATCAAGAGTCATTATCAGGCTTGGCTGGCTCATGTCCCACATCCCCTCCTGTCAGTTGTATTTCCTGGCTATTCTCAGAGCCCATCTGGAGAGGGTGGCCTTGAAGTCTGGGGCCACCTGTTCCCAGGGCCCCTCCTGCTCATCTGACCTTGGAACACCCATCTTTTTCATTCCCAGCACAGGCCAACACTAACCACTACACCACATTGACTCTCTAGATGATTTCATAACATTTCAGAGTCCTTGAAATAAGGGAAAACTCTTCCTCAAACAAGTTCAGTCATGGCTCATATAGATTTATAATTAACCAATTGTCTGGGTACTAGTTACAAATAATAATATTTTCATATGGCACTGCAGAGTATTTGAAGCATATGAAAAACATAACAAAGGGATAGTGCCTGAGAGTAAGATCCAAAATCCAAAGCTGGACAATCCCATTATTAGGTTCTCCAGAAATAGAAAACTCAAAACCTTGCACAAGTTTGTGGAATTTGCACATTTTTTTCAGAAGGGGAGATCTTGTAAGTCTGCACAATTTTGTGCAATTTTTGTTGATCCTAACTGCCTAGCAGTGGATTTTGGATTTGATTTTAAAAAACGGTATATGCTACTTCATTATATTGTATCCTATATCATGTTGCATCTGTCCCTGTCAGGTAGATCAAATTATGAAACTCAGTATTGCAGAATGGAGGCTGTGACCAGAACTGCCACAAGTAGAAATATAATGCCATTTGTCTAAGGAGCTCTCTTCCTTGTCCCTTGAAAGGGCAAAAGAAATAGAGCCAACATGTGCTGTGCCCTTTCCCAGGTTATTTAATTTCAATCTTGGACATGATCACACTCAGTCTTCATTGGGCTGTCTTGTGGATCACACTATTTTAGGGACTCCCCCCCACACACACACACAGTTTTTGTACCTCTCCAAACGCTGGGATTTTCTAGAACCTGCTGATACTTTCCCTTCTATATATGGACATCAAACACTCAAAGAATAAATGGAGCATTCATGTTTAGAAAGCGTAGCCAACACAATGCCCTGGGACAGCAATGCACCTGCAAACACCTTTTTCTGGCACCTGCCTTCCTATTATTATTATTATTATTATTATTATTATTATTATTATTATTAGGCTGCTGGGATTGTGAAATAGGTTTCATTGCTGCTGAAATGCATATCTGCAGGAATTGTAAGAACTCAGACCCACTTCTGCCTTGTAGTTTATTTCTGGGCAGGCTACTTGTCCTCTGTCATGCTTCCCATGGCAGCCGTTTTGTGGCAGTGCCCAGAACAGCATATGAGCCTATAGCTTGAACTGTTTGCCTACTATTAATGCACAGGAATTTCTCAAGCACAGGTAGAAGCAAAGGTCCATACAGCCTGAGCTCCTCTCCCAGTTTCAGCCCAGGGTTCCTGACTACATGGCAAGTTCTACTTGTATTCAAGTGACCATATGTAGCACTCCTTTTCAGACCATGCCACTCAACACAGCAAGTTTGAGACACAGGCCTTGCCATGCATTGAACAGGAGTACTTCATATTAAAGCATTTTGGTGCAGGCCCAGCAGTTATAAATTATTATCCAATTACACAAATATCCATATTATTAGATGGTTCTATAAGTGCTATCAGTGGTAACAACAAACATCAGTAAACTGGACACAAACTACAACCCAACAGCATACCACCCATGCAATCAATTTCTTTTGGACCTGCATTAACTGTCTATGCTCGAAAGGGTAATAAATAGAAACTACAGAAGCAGCTGAACTACCTAGCTGCCAACGCTGCACTGGAGTAGGCTGATGTTTTCAGGACACTCCTATGTTTCTTTGACTGGGGAGCAGAGTCCCACTATTACAAAGTTGGAAAGCCTTGTTCTGTATTATGTCATTCATTCCTGGAAAAGGCAGGAGCGGTCTGACAAGTAACTAAACATCATGTCTTCTGCTAGCACTTCCTAGAGATATTTCACTCACCCCTTGGCATGTGCTCCAAGTCAGGCAATACTTGAAGCCAAAAACAACAACAACTAGACTATCACTTAACTTATTATTCTTTACATTTTTGGAGTGAGGAGAAAGAAACCAACTTTTTATTTTGCTAGCTTTGCATATAATAATATGAGAAGTCAGATGAACAAATCTTACATTAAAAAACAGTCAAACAATACATTGTATTAGTTATTTGCTTAACAGATTCTGAGACCTCCTTTCAGGATGTTGGATGCTTCTGAAAAGGCACAAAAATTTACAAAAACCTGTTATGCCACTACAAACAGCTTACTTTTAAGCTTTATATAAATTCACTGCATTGAGTGAATCTATTAAAATCTATTTGAGTAACCTTGTGATAATTCTATTTTTAAACTGTGGGCTGCAATTGTATATAGGAGATACCAATTATGTATGAGTGAATAATGTGGAAATAAAC